AGGCATTCCAAGCCGCTCTCTTCCTCCTGCGTAACTCAGGTGCCAGGTCATTCATCATGTTGATTTCTCGACCTAAGTATATATAACTGTTGCATTCGGAGATGGTGGTTCTGTTGAGAGCGAATGGAGCGTCAGGAACAAGGCTGTTTCTCATAAACATTGTCTTCGTAAGATTCAGCTGTAGTCCAACCTTTCCACACTCACGGTCAAAGTCCGCAAGCATTTGTGCCGCTTGGCTGATGTTTGGTGTTATTAGAACGATGTCATCAGCAAAGCGGAGGTGGTGTAGTTGCCGACCATCTATCTTCACTCCCATGTTTTCCCATTCTAGTCGTCGCATGATGTTCTCGAGGGTGGCACTGAAGAGTTTTGGTGAAATGGTATCACCCTGCCGAACCCCTCTCTTGATATGGATGATTACTTCTTTGTAGAATGGTGAGATCTTGGTAGTGAATCCGCAATAGAGCTCACGAAGGATCCTGATGTATTGAGTTTGTACGCCCTGATTGGCTAGGGCTTCCATGACCGCTTCCGTCTCAACAGAATCAAAGGCCTTCTTTAAATCAATGAACGTTAGACAGAGCGGCATCTTGAACTCCCGAGATACCTCAATGAGCTTGGTTATTGTGTGGATATGGTCGATGGTACTGAATCCTTTTCGGAATCCAGCTTGTTCACATGGTTGTCCTTCATCTAGTGTTCTGCTAATCCTATTCAGGATGACTCGAGTGAATAGTTTGTAGATGACAGACAATAGGTAGATTGGGCGATAGTTGCCAATGTCGTGGATGTCTCCTTTCTTGTATAGTAGTACAGTCTTGCTGGTTTTCCATTGGGATGGAACCTTGCATTCAGACAGGTAGCGTGTGAAGAGTCGAGCTAATGTATTGATGAGTACTGATGGTAAGTTCTTCAGGTGTTCAGGTCTGATCTTGTCTGGGCCAGGTGCTTTTTGTTTCTTTACCGACGAGATGGCATGTTGGATTTCGGAAGGGAGAACATTGGGAACGACATATCCATCATGTGGTATGTGGTATGTGGGCAAGTGGATGTGGCTATTAAAGAGATCTGAGTAGAATTCATGAATAATCTTCTCCATTGCCCTTCTGGAAGATGTGATAGATCCATCATGATGTCGGAGGGCAGTCATCTTGGTTTTGTAGTTGGTGAAGGACAGGCGGGCATTACGAATGTTTTTCCCAGCTTCTGCTGCATCTACCAGTACTGCTGCTCTCCTGTTTTTGAGGTCATCCTTGATGGCTTTTCTGCACTGTTTTGCCAGTTCGGACGTTTGCTTGTGGTTGCCTGAGGCACGTGCCACGCCACGTTGGCGAATAAGTTCAAGAGTGTTCGAAGAAAGACGGTTTTTTGTGGTTATCTCTCTCTTGGCATTCCTTGCACAATCATGGAGGTGCTGAATCATTCGATCGTATTCCTCATCAATGTTGTCAATGACGGCATCTTCCCATGTTGCTGCAACAGAGCCAAAGAGTTCCCAGTTGGTGGTTGTTCTGGGAGTCTTCTTCTTAAACCTTGCATTCTTTTCTCCTCGTTCTGTGAGGTAGAATTTTGCACGAAGAAGACGGTGGTCTGATCCCGTTTGGAATTTTGGGACAACAGCAACATCGGTTAGGTAAAACCGCCGATTGAATATGATGTGGTCTATTTCATTGTGGAACCGTCCATCGGGAGAATCCCATGTCCAACGTTTAGATTCAGCCTTTTGGAATTGTGAGTTACCATGGAAGGTTTTGGTTGACATGATGAACTCAGACAGTCTGTCACCTTGTTCGTTCCATTCCAGGCCATGGGTTCCGATGTGGAGTTCATCGACTGATCTTCTTGGTCCTATCTTGGCATTAAAATCACCGACAATGATCTTGTAGAAGGTGTGATCTTCTTTATAGAATTTCTCCAGCTCCATGTAGAATTTCTCAGTTTCTTTTTCACCATAACTGGATGTTGGTGCGTAGACAACAAAGATAGAAACTGCCGGTAGTGAGCCACATTTATTCAAGTGTAATCGTCCGATTCGGGTTGTTAGGCATTCAAATGAATCAATGCTTGTGACTAAGTTTGTGTTGACAAGGATACCGACACCACCGACGCCTCTTTTATCACATGTTCCAAGGAACAGTTCTTCTCCAGTGTCGAAAACAGCATGATGGGATTGATGTCTTCTCGTTTCGGTCAGACCAATGATGTCGTACTTGATCTTTCGTGCTTGTACCATAAGGTCTTCAATGGATGCAGCAGATGCCAGCGTACGAGCATTAAAAGTACAGACAATCATTTTGGTTTTTCTGCGTTTTGGCAGCCCATGTCTGCCTTGGTGTTTTATCAGCTTCTCCTTCCATATCCTTCTCGACTCTGCATAATCAGGGCTAGGGGAATGAGATCCATTTATTACTGGATTTGGCATATCAGTATATTATTATGTTAGCTGCAAATTGTGATGATTTAACTTATTTTCTCATTTGGATTACCTTTATTTCTGTTTATTGTCTAATTACTGTAATGGCAGCAAACAATATGTAGAGTAAAAATGGAGATGCTGGACATCCTTGCCGTCAACCAAATTTCAGAAGGAATGCTTTCAGTTTACACTATTGAAAATGATGCTGGCTGTGTGTTTGATTTAGATGATCATTAATGAATGTTGATAGCTTCAGAGACACTGGTTAGAGAAAATTCCTCTTTCTTCAATATTTTTTAAAAACTTAAGGATCTTAACACTAGTAAGTTTTCTTTAAAAGTTCTTGCGCTAATTTTTTTTTATTATTTCCTTCTTTCTTCTACTTTTGGGATTCATTTCTTATTCCTACTGTAGTTGTTTAAGGCCTATGTTTAGGTTCTTGCTTTTATCATTTAGGCCTGTATTACTAAGAATATATGCCTTAATACAGCTTTTATTCTGTCACATATGTTCTGATAGTTTGTTTCTTCATTGTCATGGTTTCAAGTACACTTTTTATTTATGCCTTGATTTTTTTTCTTGGATCCATTTGATTTTTAGCAGTGTTCTGTTAAGTTTCCAAGTTTTGTACTTTCTTAATCTTCTTTGGTTAACTTCTACTTTCAGAGCTTGTGATCTTAAAGGGTACTTGGTATAATTTCTATATTCATAAAACTATGTATAGTTAAGTTTTGCCCTAGTATGCTATCTATCCTTGACAATGTTTCATGTAAAATAGAGAAGAATGTGTATTTGGATTTTTTGAATTTATATTTATTATTAAAAGTCACTTTTTACTTTTTAATTTTATTAGTGACTTATTCTTTAATTAAAATGAACTCTAAATCTTGAGTTAATAATTTACCTTTTCCTTTTTCTCATACTATTTCCATATATCTATATAATTCTTAACACTTTTTGTAGATATTAATGCTTTCTTTTTTCTTTTTTTATTGAGTCATTGTGAGATAGTAACAAACTTTCATGTTTTAGTTATAATCACACAAGGATCAAACACCTATCCCTCCACCAGTTCACATTCCCCACCACTGATATCCCCGTTTGACTTTAGGAGGATGGAAAGCCCTGTTAATCAGAGTTCTTCTAAATCCTCATTTTGGGCTCTTGTATGTTTACTAAAATTCTCTATAGATAATCAGTCTAGTGGCAAAAGTGGAGGGTTGAAGTCTCTTACTATTATTGTGTTTCTGTCAGTGTGGTTCTTTAGGTCTGTGAGAAGAATCTTTATAAATTTTAATGTCCCTTCATTCAGTGCACATATGTCAATAAGAGTTAGTACTTCTTGGGGCCAGAGCAATAGTACATTAGGTACAGTGCTTGCCCTGCATGCGTCTGACCTGGGCTCAATCCCCGTCACCCTATATCATCCCCCAAGCCATTTCAGAAGTGATATCTGGGCACAAAGTCAGGAGTAAGCCTTGAGCAATGCTGGTGTGACACCAAAAAGATTATTACTTGGTCTTTTATTCCCTTAACCAATAATTTCTATTCGTTCTGTGTCTAATTCCTTTTTTAAAAATTGAATGCTATTTTGTCTGATATAAGTATGGCTGTTCTAGCTTTTTTTGTCTGCCTCTAGCTTGTATGATTGTTTTTCATCCTTTCATTCGAGCATATGTTTATTCTGTGAATTTAGGTATATTTCCTGTAAGCTACAAATGAATGGGTTTTGTTTCTTATACCATCGACTTGTTCTGTGTCATTTGATGGGAGAGGTTAGTCCATTTACATTCAGACAGATAATTAAAAAGGCCCTCCTGTTGATCGTCGATTAGCTCGAGCGGGCCCAGTAACGTCTCCATTGGAGACTTTGTTGTTACTGTGTCTGGCATATCGAATACTCTCGGTAGCTTGCCGGGCTCTCCGAGAGGGGCGGAGGAATCGAACTCGGGTTGGCCATGTTGGCCGCTTGTAAGGCGAACGCCCTACCCGCTGACAGATAATTGATATACAGGATTGTGTTACCATTTTTCTGTTTGGAGTTAATTTTGAATTTGCTTTTAATAGGTGGCCTTTAAGATGGTCTTTTTTGCAAGGTATTTTTTTAGTTATGGCAAATGTCACCAGCTCTTAATTGTCAGAGAATGTTTTTATTCTTCTCAAATCTAAAGCTTTTCAGGATAGTGGACTCTAGGAAGTATTTTTTGTGTCTTTCCTTGAATATGTCATTCCACTCTTTTCTTGATTGTGTGATTCTGTATGAGAGATCTGTGTGATTCGTATATTATTTCCCTTGTATTTGAAGACTTTCTTCTCTCTTGATGCTTTAAGTAATCTGTCTCTCTTTTTTACCATTTTGATTATGATGTGTCATCGAGCTTTTCTGTTTGAGTCTATTTTGTTTCATGCACTATTGCCCTCTTCAATCTGTCAAGAGTCCTTCCTCCAGGGACTAGAAAATTCTGAGTTATTATTTTTCTCACCATTTGTTCTTCCCTTTCTTTCTTTTCCTTTTATCTGGTATTCCTATAATTTGGAGAGTATTACTCATGCTCTTATCCATTATCCATTAGTCTTATAGTCTAAAAGTATGGAATGTTCCACAAATTTGCATGTAATTCTTTCATAGGAACTTGCTAATATTCCATGTGTCATTCCAAATTTCGTATATGTGCTACCAAACCAAGCATCCATTTCTTAATTTTTGAAGTCTCTATAATTTTTTCCAGTCTTACATGTGTGAGCTGCTATTTCATTGTTTTTTTATTTGAATTTCACTGATGATGATTGATGAAGAACACTTTTTCTCATATCTATTCGACATTGGTATGTTATCTTTGAGGAAGTGTCTGTTCAGCTCTTATACCCATTTGTGAATGAATATTTGTTTTTGTTGATTTATAAGTTTGCTTTATACATCTTGAATATAAGTGCTTTGTTGATGAGTAAATATTTTCTTACAGTCTGCAGATATCTTTTTATGCTAGACATTATTTCTTTTTGTTGTTGTTTGGGAGCTACACAGCAGTGTTCAGGTGCTATTTCTGGCTCTGTGCTCAGGACTTATCCCTAGTAGTACTCAGGAGACCATATGCAGTGTCAGGTATAGAATTGGAGTTGCTACATGCAAAGCAAGTGATTTAAACCCTGTACTAAATCTGTGCCTGGCCTTAGACATCATTTCTTTTTTTTTCTTTTTGGGTCATACCTGGCAATACACAGGGGTTACTCCTGGCTCTGCACTCAGGAGTTACTCCTGGTGGTGCTCAGGGGGCCATATGGGATGCTGGGAATCGAACTTTGGTCAGCTGCATGCAAGGCAAACACCCTACCCACTGTGCTATCTCTCCAGCCCCTAGACATCATTTATTTAGCCTTGCTTCTTAATTTGATGTAGTTCCATTAGTTTATTTATGTTCCTGTTTGTTTGGCCAGTGTCAATGAGTCATTGAAGATGACTCTAAAGTCAATAACATGTAAAGTTTTGTCTATATTTTCCTCAATGTAATTTATGAATTTGAGTTTAATATCAAAGTCTTTAATCTATTTTGAGTTAACTTTTGCATGTGATGTGAGATAGGGATCAAATCCATGAAATTTCCATATGAAATGAAGTAAAAAGAGAGAAACCAAAAAAGTCCCAGTCTCAATTGTGACCACAGAAGCAAAACACATGGAAATCAATTTAACAATAGAAGTGAAGAGCAGTAGAGTTCATACAGTGAATACTGCACTTGCTAGCATACAGCAGACCTGGGGTTCAATTCCTGGCATCCAAGGTGGCTCCTGAGCCCTGCCAGAGTGATCCTTGAGTGCAGAGACAGAAGAAAGCTCTGAATACTTCTAGGTACAACCACCAAAACAAATGATTAATTAAAGACTTATACAAAGAAAACTATAAATCACTATTAAAAATTAGGAGGGGCGGAAGCGATAGTACTTTGGGTAGGGTACTTCTCTTGCCTGTAGCTTGCCCAGGTTCAATTCCCAGAACCTCATAATGGTGCACCAATCCCTGCCAGGAGTGATCCCCGAGCACAGAGCCAGGAATAAACGTTGGGTATTGCTGGTGTGTCTCTTGAAAAATAAAAGGAAGACAGACACTTAGAAATAGAAGCACATGTCCTCTTCACGAATTGGGAGAATTAGCATTACCAAAATGGTTATCGCATGTAAAATATGATACAGATTCAATTCAGTACCCATCAAAATCTTCATGACTTTTTGAAAGGACATGGACCAAATGCTACTGAAATTTATTTGGAGTAATAAATCTCCCAGAAGAGTCAAAGTTAATCCTGTGAAGAAAAAAAGAATAGAGACTCCCCACCAGCACCAATTTTAAATTGCATTGTAGAGCTGTAGCAATCAAGACTCTGTAGTACTAGAATAAAAACATAATTCCAAATGAATGAAATAGAATTGAGAGGTCAGATATAGAGTAATGACATTTTTAAAATGTATTTTTTAATCTGTTTATCCTTGCAGTTCTGAGGTGTTTTCTTTATGTATTGTGAATATCTGTCATTACCTCAGGTAAATGGACAGCTAATCTTCAACAAAAGATCTAGGTGTATGAAGTGGAATAAAGAAATTCTCTTCAATAAATTGTGTGGGAAAACAAGTTTGCTACATGCAAAAAAATTTTCTATTTCAGTACCTTTAAATTGAGGAAATTATTTGTGTGACTTGAATTCTTTTATATATTTTTTGAGACTTACTTTATGATTCTGGTATATTTTGGCAAATATTATATATGTAGATAAAAAGAACATGCATTCTTATAAATTTTATTTCATTTACTTTAAATATTAGCATTATGGAATTTTATATATATATTTTAGAAATTAATAGAAAATTAATGAAATTTTAAATGTATTTGTGTTTTTATCGGTTTCTCCAGTTTCTCCTTGCAGTTATAATGTTGTTTTCTTAATGTAGTATGAAAATCTGTCATCAAGTACATAAAAAATTGTAATTTTTTAATTCACTCTTTTAATACTATTGAATAATCTTTGCGTCTCATTATGTTATTTGCTTTAAAAAGGGTTAATATTTATATCACACACATATATTATATATTATATACACATATATATTTTCCACATTTCTTTTGGTTGGTGTTAGCATAGTTTCTTTAGCATTGCTTCTTAATTTTAACCTATTTGTGTGCATTTCTTGTAGACAGTATATAGTTGAATCTTGCTGCTTTAAAATTCATTCTGTTTTTACCTTTTAACTGAAGTTTTTATACCATATACATTTAACGTGGTCATTTATATGGTTAGGTTTAATTCAGTCATGTCGTTATTTGTTTTCATTTATACTGTTCATTCTGTCCTCATTCTCTGCTGCCATTTCTGACTAATGAGTACTGTAATTAATCTGTTCCATGACCTTTGTTAGGTAATTAATTATATTTCTGTTTATTATTTTATTGCTTGACTTACAGTTCATAGCATGTATAATGAGAAAAGATTATTATGCACTTACCCATACAATTTACCATTTCTGATAAATTTTATTCTTTTGTAAAAATAATATTTTGTTTTCTGTAATTTTATTTTTTACTTAAGGATGTACTCAAACATTCTTCTACTATGAATATACTAATTATCCATTTCTTTCATCATTTGAATCTTTGATAAAATCTTGATTTTGTATTTTAGATTAACATAAAATTAATTTTATATAATACTATATTGTATAGTATATTGGAACACTCATGTAAAAATAATATAGAAAAATCATTAATACCATTTCCCATATTTCCCTTCATAATAATAGTATATTGGAACACTCATGTAAAAATAATGGGAGGGGTTGGATCGATAGCACAGTGGGTAGGGCATTTGCCTAGCACAAGGCCGACCCAGGTTCGATTCACTGCATCCTATATGGTCCTCCAAGCACCGCCAAGAGTAACCCCTGAGTATCGCCGTGTGTGAGACCCCCAAAAAGCAAATAAATAAATAAAATAATGTAGAAAAATCATTAATACTGTTTCTCATATTTCCCTTCATGATAACATCTTGCAGAACTAAAATATAATTCAACAATAAATATATCAAAATTGATGGGTGTGGTAAAACTACAGTAAAATTCTGTCTCTGTAAGATGCCTATTATTGCTCTTTTATCAGGCAGACCCACCATCCCTTTCCTATACCTAATTCATGATGACCATAATCTTCTCTACTTGTATCATATTTGGAGATACCATTCTCATTTCTGGAGTATCATGGAGTATAAAACATATGGTATATGTCATTTTGAGATATTTTCCCATTTAGCACAGTTCAAAGCTGTATATATGCATAGGGCATTATTGTTGCACGCTGAAGAACAGCTGGTCTGTTTTCATTTTAGGGATAGAATGAATTGAGATAATATGAACATTTGTGTACAGGTTTTCATTTGAATATGAGTGTCTATTTCTGTGATTTGTTTCTCAAAAGTGCAGAGTTTGAACAGTTTGATACATCTATATCCAATTTGGGGGATGGTCATTTGTACCACAAATGACTTTACTCTTATTTGCACCTAATAGTTCTAATGGGATCCTGTAGTCCAAGGTATCCCATTAGATTCCTTGTAGTCTAATGGGATCTTTAATAGTCAGGCTCCTGAACACACAGCATACAACACAGCCCTTTGAGCCACCTTCATAGTCACATATTCAATTTTCAAGAAACTTCCAAATTTTTATCCACACTGGGTGTAACATTTTCTACTCATATCAGTAATGTATGAGTTTTTCCATCTTTCTTCATAATTCTTAGTATCTAATATTTCCACTATTTTATTGTAGTCATTTGAATAGCTTTGTAATGATATCACATTTTGTCTTAAAGATACACTCTCCTATGTGCTAAAGATGTATCAAAATTTTTATACGCTTATCATCCATTTTTAAATCCTATTTGGTAAAATATCTCTCCTCATACTTTTTGTCCATTCTCTAAGTGGATTATTGAAACCATAGAATTTTTTTGTCTGTGTAGTTTGCAAATATGTTCTCGCATTGTGTAACTTGTTTTGTTTTGTTTTGTGTTTTGCTTTTTGGGTCACATCCAGCGATGCATAGAGGTTACTTCTGTCTCATGCACTCAGGAATTACTCCTGGCTGTGCTTGGGGGACCATATGGGATTCTGGGAATCGAATCCAGGTCAGCCGCGTACAAGGCAAATACCCTACCCACTACCATTGTGTAACTTTTTTTTTCTTTTTTTATTAGTGAAAAACCATGAGGTACAGTTATAGGCTTACAAATTTTGTGCTTGGGTTTCAGTTATACAATGATCAAGTGCCCATCCCTCCACCAGTGCCCGTCATCCATCCCCACGGGTCCCAGCATCCCCCCCAAACCTCATCCCCCCCCTCCCTGTCCCATCCTGCCTCTGTGGCAGGGTATTCCCCGTTGTTTTCTCTCTCTTCTTTTGGTATTGTGTAACTTTTTAATTCTCCTATTATGGTCCCCTCCCAAACTCAAACATTTCCTGCATAATGATTAGTACTCCCATAATGTTGCTCTTAGATCTCAGTTACTACCTTTTTATTTTTAAGTCTCACATATGAAAGAGATCATTCTCTGAAGTTCTTATCTATGCTTTTTTAATTGAATCACTGTGAGATACAGTTAAATATCTCTCATGATTGAGTTTCAGTCATACAGATTATGATTTTTGGC